TTAGGGTATAGTATCATGCCAAAAACTCCGGTTAATTCATTATCTAAATAGCAAAACTCAACGGGCGTACGGTAGACTAAGGTACGCCCGGGCGTACGCTAGCCTGAACCATATATATATATATATATATATATATGTGTGTGTGTGTGTGTGTGTGTGTGGTTCAGGCTAGCGTACACCCTTTTGAGTTTTGCTATATAGATCATGAATTAATCGGAGTTTGGGGCATGATACTATACCCTAACCTCTAATGGGTGAACCCCAGCCCCTAATTTTCTAACCCAAACCACGAGGTTCGTTTAATCTTAAAATAAAAACCAATGAAAATTTCGACGAATCAGAATCGTTGATTTTCATTTTTAAGATTAAACGAATCTCATGCTTTGGGTTAGTGAATTGGGGACTGGGATTCACCCATTAGGGGTTAGGGTATAGTATCATGTCCCAAACTCCGATTAATTCTTTGTCTAAATAGCAAAACTCAATGGGGCGTACGGTAGGCTAGCGTACGCTCGAACGTACGCTAGCCTTTGCCATATATATATATATATATATATATATATATATATATATATATATATAGTTGCGTCTTCGGTGCACTCACTTTTTTGGGTGCATTCAGTGCACTCACTTCAAAACCGTCATTTTAAACATGTGATTTATGTCAAAATGATGTCAATCATCACTTATGATGTGATGAATAATAACGCACATGAATTTGCACAAAATTCATTGAAGATTTACTTTAATTTGAAAGATTTAGAGTTTAGAGATTTAGGGTTAGGGTTAGGGTTTACAGTTTGGGGTTTAGGGATATGACTCTAAATTGGAGGTCTAGGACTTAGGGTAATCCACTAATTAGTTGTTATCATATGTTATATCATCATATTACACTAATTCTACAAAATAAAATTCAAAATCCGACACCTTAAGACTAGTTTTTGAGTTGGGTGCATTGAACGCACTCATTTTTGTGAGTGCACCGAAGTAGTCACCATATATATATATATATATATATATATATATATATATATATATATATATATATATATATGTGGGTGGTTCTATCGTACCTTGGGTAAAATCAAGGGTACGACATACATTGAGTAAGAAAATGATATATAGACCTCGAATTAAGCATAGTTTGGCGTATGATATTATTCCCAAACCCTTAAGGATTAAAATCTAGGTCTTAGTTCTATAAATCTCATATACTAAGATCAATTTAATTATAAACAAAAATCAACGACTATGATTTGTCGAAATATATACAACAAATTCCAGGCACAATCTTAGGGATTAGGCTTTTTGATTTAGAAAACTAAGACATAGGGTTCACTCATCAAGAGTTAGGGTATAGTAGCATGCCCACAAATTCGGTTAATTCGAGATCTAAATAGTATTTTCTTACTCAGGGTATGTCGTACCCTAGATTTTACCCAAACAATAAAAGCCTATATATATACTGATATTCTTGAGATCTTAATAATCGAATTCTATCTAATCCTTGCGCATGGGCCTGGCCTCATAAGCCTTTATATAAAAAAATTTGTTAAATAGAGGCTTTATCAATTGATGAATGCCACTTCTAGTCTTCTACTAATCATCTTCCAATTAAAAAATTATTATTCAATAATTTAGAAATATGTCGTCAATTATTAATCCAAGAAACTCGATCAAAGAAATGTATTTGTTGTTTTCTTTTCATTCCCTTTTTGGGGGGAAAAAACGTTGTTAGATTTTTAAAATAAATATCCCAGTTAATTAAATCACTGAATTCATTTGAGGGTTACTATTTGCCGCCCGTCTCTTTATTATTTGCCGCCCGTAAATTAAACTAAAATGACATTTTTACCCTTTGTTCATTTTTTATAAAACAAACCCCATTCCACCACAACTGTCGCCGGCGCCAATCCACCACCGCCGCCAAATCGCCGGCGTCGCCACCACCGCCAGATCACCACCGCGGCCAGAACCAAATCACCTCAGCCGGCGGGCGGGCCCCGTCCGACGCCGGCGGGCGGGCCCCGTCCGACGCCGGCGGGCGGGCCCCGTCCGACGCCGGCGGGCGGGCCCCGTCCGACGCCGGCGGGCGGGCCCCGTCCGACGCCGGCGGGCGGACCCCGTCCGACGTAAGGAGGCGGACCACCGTGCTCTCCGTTGGCGATTCTTCCGGCAATGGAATTGTAGGATTAATCACCCCTTAATCACTCCTTAATATTGCAGAAATCACGCCCCATTTTAGTAAGAATTAAAGGTATACTATAATATTTTCAATTGTTAATTATGGAAATAATCCTTAGACGTTTTTTTTTAGGAAGTTTTGTTCGGCTCTTAATTAGGAAAATACAATTAGACGAATTCCAGCGTAGTTACAAAAGAATTACTTAAAGTAATCACTTCAATTACGCAAAATATTAAAAAAGAATTAGTTTAAGTGATTAAATTAAACTCACCTACTACTATTAAAATAGGTAATTAACTATTAAATTCTGTTTCCCCTAATTTCGTTGGTAGCAATCAAAGAGGAAAATAATTAATAATAAAAAGTATCACTTATTATGGAATAAGATGGTTATTAATTAATAAAATTAATTTTGATATAATGAGATGAGACGTGAGTGATTGGAAATTGGGAAGGAATCCATCACTGAAACCTAAATGACACGCTAAATTAGCACTAATTGGATTCATAATTTAAACACTAATTCTGAAATTCTACAATTAGTTAAATATTTTACCTAAAAAATAATTACGTAACTGAAAAAAATAAAAGCAACCGCGAAAAGAGGATTCCATTAATGGCAGTTACCAAAAAATATAAATAAAAATTAAGGTTAAAAACCCATACTCCTCCCCCATTACGACGTCTAGTTTAAACTTCCTAATCCTAAATCAATATTAACTCCTTCAATTTACCGTATTACTATTATTTTTTTTATAATTATTTAATATAAGAGATGGAGAAGGAGTTGAGAGGGGTTAATTGGAGAGAGAAGTGATTAATATTATGATTTGTATTAAAAGATTAAATGACTGTAGGAAACTAGGAAAGGATTTTTCTGCCGTTAGTGGGATGAATTAGGGGAAATTAGATTGGTAGTGATTAAGGAGATAATGATTCAAATTATTAAATTAGTTAGGATGACTATAATTAATATTATGATTTGTTATTATAGTAAATGGCAGTGGAAAAAGGATCTGCCGTAAGTGGGGTGGATTAATCAATAATTACTTTTTAATATGTCTCTTATTGACTCCTCTCCCATTAATATGTCTAACTACATTTACCTAATTTCTCTTATTGTAGTTATTTAGTTTTAAATTATGGTACAGAATAGTGATAAACATTAACCTAATATTAAATTAGTTAGATTAATAATTATATAATTATGTTGTGGTAAATATCAAATTTCGTACTAAATAAATTTGTGGATACGAACATGATGGAATCAACCGTTTCTCAATTGGACGTCCGGACAAAAAATGATGAATAATGTCAAAACTTTAATCGAGGTTTTTGAGGAGTTCAGGGATAGTAATGACCAGTTTCTTGAGCCTATCATGTGTATTTCGTCGATGCAAACGATTGTTATTAGTAGAGGCAGAGACGATTTTGCCTCTAAGACAAAGTCGTAGTAGGATTAAATGGACTGAAGTTGAAGGTATATATTTAGTGAGAATGAGAGTTTAGGGTTTGTAAGGGGTAGATTGTGTTTGAGGGAGAAGAGATGCATGTTTTGTTACTCATCGTTATCCGATTGAGTCGAGTTGATTCTTCATTTTGTTATATGACATCTTGGGTTAGATTGATTCAATTGTGGTCAAAGTCAAATCATAATCACCTTAAACCCTAATTCAGTCAGACTCTAATTTAACATCCTATAATTATTCAATTACAAAAGATTTACGTAATAAAATTGGTTCAACTATTATTTGAAAGAAAGTCATCGTTCCTTTTATCTATAATTACTTACCATTTCAAATCCAATTTTTTCGCGTCCAATTTGTAGCTTAATTTCCTAAAAACTCATCTATTAATTGCCATTATAAACACTAATTCCGATTTTACTATTACTTAAGCACTTTCCCTAAAAATAATTATTTAGTTGCTAAATAAATAAATAATAATTTAAAAACGATTATAGCAAGAGAGGAATCCATGGCAATTACCACCAAATATAAAACATAGTTAAGAAGTTAATTAGCCAAATGGATTCTCGGCGGTTAAGGGGAATAGATTTTCAGTTTTAATTAAAGAAATAATTAATAATTTCGTCAAAAAATGGAAATAATTAATAATCCTTTATTTTTCGGTTGTCAATCAAGAGGCACTGGAAAAAAAATTCCGTCCGCTTGCCGGCATCGGACAAGGTCCGCTCGCCGGCGCTGATCGAGGTACGCATGTGCTCGTCGGACGGGGTCCGCTCGCCGGCGTCGGACGGGGTCCGCCCGCCGGCGTCGGACGGTTAAAAAAAGGGGGGAAACATGCTCCTTCTCGACGGCGGTGGCGACGGGATGGGATGTAGAGTCAGCGACGGGTTGGAGTTGTGTGGGGAGGGAGGTTTCCAGCCTGTGGCGGCTTGGAGTTAGAGGAGAAGGATGGAGTTGCGGCAGCCATGGAAATTGCCGGCGGTTTAGAGTTGGAGGAGATGCAGATCGCCGCGGCGGCTTGGTGATGGAGGAGAAGGAGGTTTCCGGCAATTATCGTTTTAAATGGAAGGAGGGTAAAATTGTAATTAGGTTGAAAACTACGGGCGGCAAATAGTAAATACTAGGGCGGCAAATAGCAGTTGAGATTCATTTCCCATCTAGCTAATTCAGGTCTATTGAATCCCCGTTGGAAGCGGTAACTCCACGTGTACTGAGATCCGATCGCCAATTACCGACTTGCCAGCGAGAGATCTCAGCCATTGCCTCAGGAACGGGAGAGAAAAAAATGGGGAATGAAAAAAACTTGTGGTAAGCTAGTCGACACGTGGCACGAAAATGGCGGTGAAATAGATTGCCATTATATAAACCTTGTCCCCAACCTCCAGAGAACCTTCATCCTACTTCCATTTTACAAAATAAATAAATAAGTTTTAAGTTTTTTCTCTTCCCCCTTAGTTAATAGTTTCCCCGTTCGTCGTCTGATTCTATAAAAGAAGGAGCAATTGAAACTGCGCTCTGCTTTTTTATAGTATCAGACGGCGAATAGACAAAATCCTTCGTCCCAAACAAAGCTCCCTATTGAAATCTTAACAGAAGAAGAAATGGCATTAAACGTGGCTCACCAGATCGGAGCCCTCGTCGGGGCTCCAATCCGAGCCGAGGCCGCCGTGTCTTCGGGCGATTCGACGCTTGCAGCGTCGGTGTGGCAATCTCCGGCGCCAATCAATTGCAAGATCCAGAAGGAAGACGGAGGAGCGGAGCAGAGGTCGCACCCGGCCAGCCCCTGCAAATCCCCCATCATCGGCGGCGGCGCGAGGCCAGATCTGTCCGCCGCGTGCCTCGCCTTCGCGGCGGAGAGCGACGAGCTGTTGGTGCACGAGGAAGGAGGCAGGAGCAAGAAGGGCGGGAAGGGGGTTCCGGTGTTCGTGATGATGCCGCTGGACAGCGTGACGATGAAGAACACGGTGAATCGGAGGAAGGCGATGAATGTCAGCCTGCAGGCGCTGAAGAGCGCCGGCGTGGAAGGGATTATGATGGACGTGTGGTGGGGTTTGGTGGAGAGAGACGCTCCCGGGGTTTACAATTGGGGAGGTTACTCCGACCTTCTGGAGATGGCCCAGCGCCATGGCCTTAAGGTCCAGGCCGTCATGTCGTTTCATCAGTGCGGTGGCAACGTCGGTGATTCCTGCAAGTAAGTTCGTCTCTGTCACTATTTCTTTTTGGGGTTTAATTGGTGATGGGCAATGGCTAACTCGGGCTGTTTCATCACTTCATCGCAGCATTCCTTTGCCCAATTGGGTTGTGGAGGAGGTCAACAATGACCCAGATCTTGCTTACACGGATCAATGGGGAAGGAGGAACTACGAGTACTTGTCGCTCGGATGCGATACGCTTCCAGTTCTTAAAGGTCGATCGCCTGTGCAATGCTACTCCGATTTTATGCGTGCATTCAGGGACAACTTCCAACACCTTCTTGGCGACACCATTGTGGTAATTGATCATCGTTAAACCCTGGATTCGCATTTCGTCAAAGACTTGAAATTTAAATCCTGAAACTTTTATGTTCTCAACTGTGCAAACCCGTTGGCATTTTCAATCTATAGGAAATTCAAGTAGGGATGGGTCCTGCTGGTGAGCTCCGTTATCCATCCTACCCAGAGAAAGATGGTATCTGGAGATTCCCCGGCATTGGGGCCTTCCAATGCTACGACAAGGTAACTTGTTTTGAATACAATGGTTGAAAGTTGAAACCTATAGCTAAGCTAACTCTCTATGAAATGAAATGAATGGCTTTGTTGCAGTACATGCTCAACAACTTGAAAGTTGCAGCTGAGGCCGCTGGCAAGCCACAATGGGGGAACAGTGGCCCGACTGATGCAGGAGAATACAACAACTGGCCAGAAGACACTCGATTCTTCCGCAAAGAAAATGGTGGTTGGAACAGCCCCTATGGCGAATTCTTCCTCAACTGGTACTCCCAGATGTTGTTGGACCACGGCGAGAGGATCCTGTCATCAGCTACATCCTTATTCAGCAATGCAGGCACAAAGATCTCGGCCAAAGTAGCAGGAATCCACTGGCACTACGGCACTCGCTCCCACGCACCAGAGCTCACGGCGGGTTACTACAACACCAGGTACCACGACGGGTACCTTCCGATCGCCCAAATGCTGGCTCGCCATGGCGCGGTATTCAACTTCACCTGCATCGAGATGAGGGACCACGAGCAGCCCCAGGACGCGCTCTGTGCGCCCGAGAAGCTCGTGAGGCAAGTGGCTCTGGCGACCAAGGAGGCTGGAGCCCCGCTGGCAGGGGAGAACGCGCTGCCGCGGTACGACGACTACGCACTCGAGCAGATCAAGGAGGCCGCGGCACTGAACGTTGGCGAGAAAGCAGATGAGGACGATGAGATGTGTGCATTCACGTACCTGAGGATGAACCCGACTCTGTTCGAGCCGGAGAATTGGAGACGGTTTGTGGGCTTTGTGAAGAAGATGAAGGAAGGGAAATGTGGGGATCGGTGTTGGGAGCAGGTTGAGAGGGATGCCGAACATTTTGTGTATATCAGTCAGCCGTTGGTACAAGAGGCTGCTGTTGCTCTTGCCCACTAGTTTGAGAAATGGAGGGCAAGAATACTTTTGTGATTATGCACTAGATGTTTGACTTCTTTCTTTCTTTCTTCTTTTTTTGTATAATTTTTTCCTTCTATAAATGGAAGTGTAACACCCCGAATTACATTTATCTTGGCGTTTCCCAAATTTCCCTTCCCAATCATAATTGCACTACAGATGCAACCACCCACAAGAAGCCTTTTCACTCCCATTCCCTTATCCCACCATTCTCGTGACCGCCATTATTAGTGACAGCAAGGTAGACAAGAAAATATATTATTTCCCAAGATTCAATCACCATAGTTAACTAATGGACATCATTCTTGCATCGTAGCTTTGTCGGCCAAGGTGCGAGGTGATCGAATGACGATCTAAGCAAGGAATAGAATCCATAGTGACTGTCCATAGTGACTCTGATATAGCTCTAGGCACGAATACTAGGAGGTAAGGAAGCTCGATCCATCGCGTTAAAATCGGCATTTATGTGAGTAATACGGGTTTGTATAAATCTGGAAATTGGCGACTGTATTGCAGGCTTTAGTGACGGTTCGTTAGCTGTCTCGAAAGTCTGGCCAATCAGTGGCAGCTCTTTTGGGACGAGCTGTGATAGTCTTTAGTGGCAGATAAGATGACGGTCACTAGATGGAGCTGTAGCTTTTATGATTTAATTGTCTAAGTTGATTATAAGTGTTGATTATGTATTGTCAAATGGGTGTTTGTAATTGATTTAATAAGTAATCTGAGTAGTGTACGAATTATGATGTTGAATTAACTTGGTAATTAATAAACTGATTTAGTTTAAGCTCATTAATTATTTGGTCTAATAATATAGCGAATGTTGTTGTTGAGTGGTTCTTTAAGCAAGTTAATAGGTAAAGAGTACTAATTAATTTATTAGCTAGCGAAATAGTGGTTTCGGGTAGAATGATATTAGATAAACTTGATATGATTAGCAAGTTAGATAAACTATGCTAATGAGGTAAATTTACTAGTTCTTTTAATTGAGTAATATATGTTATAATATGCTCTTGAATCTTGGATTCAACTAGGGAAGTGATATTAGCATGATTAGTTTTCCAAGTATTTAAATTGGCTAAGATCTTAAAACTATTAGATTTAAGGAGTCAATGTTTTAGTATGATTTAATTAGTCGTACTTTGCAATTGACGAACCTTCACTAATAATATCCAAAACCCAACCGATCTAACATCAGTATTCGCCATAGGTTAACAAGGCGAATCATCCTCTCTAGAGCATCGATTCTTTGAGTTGGTGGCAAGATAAAATCAAACTACTTAAATTAACAAGGTGCGTGGTTTGAGGGGGCTAGTTAGTATTCCATTCTGAATTGTTTGTGATGCATGTTACTTGCGTTATATGATATGCTATTATATGTTATTTATGGTCGAGTTATGTGTTTATGAGATACATGTTCAAGTTTGTGAATCATGCTCAAGTTTATGAATGATGTTCATTATGCATAGTATCACGCTCATTAGAAAATTATGACCAAATCAGAGTTATTAAGTTGAGCTCTTGAAGTAAACATGTACATAAGACTTAATTATCTCTCTCCATGGTGCGAAAGATTAATTAAGGCAAGCATGTACAATTACCATGCTAAGTAAGAACAAGTTAATAAGTAAGAACAAGTTAACCTCGCTTAGCTAGCCACTATCTAGAGGGATCCCTACTGGATGGCGATTCGTTCCGCGGTAGTGGATCAGGTATGGAGCCGGACGATGATGAGTTTCGTAGTCTCCATTGCCTAGGTTTACGTGGTGCTACCGGATGGTAATTCGTTCCGAGGTAGACATACTCTAGTTTGACACCGGATGGTGATTCGTTCCGCGGTGTTCAAACTCATGTGAGGCTCCCCATTGTGAGGGTAGCCATGTTTAAGTGAGTAAGACTAGTAGTGGCGCCAGCTAAGTCGAGGTAGGGGCCCCGGCACAAGATAAAAGATACAAGATACCCAGACTTATAATTTCAAGAACTCTTAATAACGTACTAAGACATTGCATGGCATTTGCACTCATATGCATGTTGTTTGGTTTTATATTATATCAAGAATGGAATTAGGATTAGGACCGACCCCAACGCCCGCATTCAGGAATCATAGAAGCACATAAGCACGCATATGGATTCAGCGATTCATCATTGGCTCCAGAGCACTCCAGAAGGAAGAAGTTAAGTTCAATACTTTAGTAGGACAAGAGACTTGATGTGATTTTACGATGATATTTATTACGTCGGGATGTTTCAAACCATGTTGACTTTTATGTCTATTGTTATCTTTAGTACGACCTTCCGCTATCTTTCAATGTATTTAATGTTCATTGATTTTTAATGGTATTTTAGTAAAAGTAGCACCCTGTCGGGTCAGGGTGTTACAGGAAGCAAGAAAAGAAAAAAAAATCTACAACATTAATTTTCATCCCAATAAAGCGTAAGACCATCTACATCCCAAAAATTAATTAGCAATTTCTAAATCGGTCCAATATAGCCACATCAACAACTTAGCAATTTATCTCTTCAACAATTTCTAACCATCTCCACCCCGGCAATTACTTTGGTTTGCCTTGGTTGATTGAAGTATCAACAAGAAAGGATACAGATAGGAGGAATCATAAATAAAGAGATCAAAAAATGACGATCCATTCACTATGGTTTGCCTTCCCAGTCCCACAAACAACCAAACCCGTTAAGGCACTAAGTGAGGAAAAAAACTGTGCATTTTTTATACATGAATTAATGTTACGACTTACGACATAGCAAAGCTTGTGATATGAACATATCCAACATGCCAGCTGAACTCAAAATTAAGGGAGCGGATATGGTGACAACACCATATTTGTTGTTATAGTAACAACTAACAACAACATAGGTGGACCAATAGGAACCCACCATTCTGCATACTTTTGAAATTCATGCGTTGACTAAGGTAAAATACAAAGGAAGGGCATTTTTGTCCTACCAAAAATTAGCAGCTCCTTTTCCGAAAATTTCCAGCTCCTTTTGTCCGAAAATTTCCAGCTCGTTTCTCTCTCCGTTTCTCTCTCTGTCCAATCGCGCGGCGCCGAGGCTGAACGAGGGCGCCGAATCCTCATCGGAGCAACGCAACTACTGCAACGGCGGCGACGCAACGGCGGCGACGAGAGCTTGATCGCAGCAGCTACAGCAACGGCGGCGACGAGAGCCTGATCGCAGCAGCTACAGCAACGGCGGCGACGAGATCCTGATCGCAGCAGCTACAGCAACGGCGGCGACGAGATCTGATCGCAGCAGCTACAGCAACGGCGACGAGATCTCATTGCAGCACCTACAGCAACGGCGGCAACGCAACGGCGACGAGATCTGATCGCAGCAGCTGCAGCAACGGCGGCGACGGCTGAGCAAGCTCCTGATCGCAGCTAAGACATTGACGATGGACGAGAATCGTGTAGATGAAGTTTCTGTTGGTTCTGTAGATGCTCAACAACTCCTGCAAATTGCAACATCTTCTGAAAATCCAACAGAAGTTGGATATCAGCTGGAAACCTCTATTTCCACCAACAGTGGCAACAATGAACAAGAAGAAGGTACGCTCAACTCAATCCTTCCTGTTTTCTTACAATGAGCACCACAATCACGCTTATACAAGCCATTTACCATATCATAAGCACTACCAATCAAACCGCCCACAAAAATCCCACAAACGATACCAAAAGCATCGCCAAACACACCACATTCGTCCCAAAACAAACCACAGGAAAAAAAGAGACTATCAACCAAAACACTTTAGAAACAAACCACAATACTTCTTAAACGCACCAAAACACCTCCAATGCACACCATTAAAACCTAAATCGTTACATTCTGCAATCTGTTTGTAAAAAAAGCACATTGTAATGCAAACCATAAATGTTATAAAAGAATCATGAATAACTACAATGCAAATCACTTTTCACTTTTCTAGCAAATATCATTGCAAGATGAAATCATTAAACCGCCCACAAAAATCCCACAAACGATACCAAAAGCATCGCCAAACACACCACATTCTTCCCAAAACAAACCACAATACTTCTTAAACGCACCAAAACACCTTCAATACACACCATTAAAACGTTAATCGTTACATTCCCCAATCTATTTGTAAAAAAAATCATACACTGTAATGCAAACCATAAATGTCATAAAAGCATCATGAATAACTACAACCCAAACCACTTTTCACTTTTCTAGCAAAAATTATCGCAAGATGAAATGATCAAGTACTCATTTCTTTCATCATTGCTTACAGGTGTGACATCAAACAGGTCCGAGTCAGACTACACTAGTTTGGGGTTGGCATTCAAAACCATTGAGGAAGCAAAACAATTCTACAAGAACTATGCTCACGATCTTGGCTTCAGCGTGAGGGACATGGGAGCTGTCAAACGTTCTACAAAAAGACAGCCAACCAAAACAACACGATATGCTAGGTATTGCTGCAGCAAAGAAGGATACAAGACCACAAGCAAGTCAAATCCCAAGAATAAAGGATCAATAGATGTGAAGGCTTATCAACGTGCTGTACCAGAAACTAGAGTTGGCTGCCCAGCTATAATCAAATTCAGATATGATATCGAGAAGGATGAATGGCTGCTGGACAAGTGGATAACAGAACACAACCATGATCTCCTCCCTCCAAAATTCAAACATCTCTTGAGGTCGAACAAGGGGATCTCAGAAATGCATGCAATGGTCGCAAAAGTGCATGCAGATTATGGAGTTTCACTACGGAAATCATATGAGTTGTTCACCACAACTTCAGGGGGGAGGGAGAATGTACCTTTTACCCCTCATGATCTGAAGAACTATATCACAGGGACAAGGCAGAAATCAATGAAACCAGGCGAAGCAACTATACTTCTTGAACATTTTCGCCATGAAGCTTACAAGAATCCATCATTCTTCTATGAAATTGAGGTAGATAGTAACGAAGATATTGCAAGTATATTCTGGGCTGATGCAAGAATGCGGTTTGACTACAGTTGCTTCGGAGATACGATCAGCTTCGACACCACATACAGGACAAACCAGAATTATCGTCCACTAGGTCAGTATTCCTTGCACTAGTTAATTTTCTTGAGATTTGGAAGTTGAATGCATACCAAACATTACATAATGCATTAGGAGGTTTCTGGTGGGATTTTGCAAATGTTGTGGTTTGCTTTGTGAGGTTTGTGGTTTTCTTTGTGAGGTTTGTGGTTTCCTTTGTGAGGTTTGTGGTTTGCATTAATAGGTTTCTGGTCTGCTTCCGCAAATGTTGTGGTTTGCTTTGTGAGGTTTGTGGTCTGTTTTATAAGATTTGTGGTGTGCATTAAAAGGTTTGTGGTTTGCATTAAGAAGGATTCCTT